GCGAAATGTCACGTCTGAATGGGTTTTGGGACAGCGTGTTTGTGTAAAAAGTCTTGTTACCCTCATAGAAGTGGTCGATCTTGAAATAAATTTGCTCGTTTTTTGTAAATTAAATAATGTTATTCTGCTCTAATAACTTAATAATTGTTGGACTTTTTGACCGGCCCCTATAATAATTTGCTTTCATAATTTATTCTGAGGCTTCATTGCTACCTCGACTTCACTGACCTTACGCCGTATGGTTTGCATACAACTAACTCCAGATCGTCTCGTAAGTGCCGTAGGTAACCATTAAAGAGCAGATTCGGAAAAGGTCAGTAGCCTCTGCCTAATTGGTTGCAGCTGTCAGCACATTTCAATGATCGTCGTTATCGTTAGTTACGTATGACTTTTCATTGTTGGTGATGCCAATCGGCTTGTACAAGCCCACGCACAAACAAACGAACTGGATGAATTTATAGCTTTAAAGAGATATAAATATACCTATTAAAGGCCAATTTGCCAACTTTCAACGGGATCTAAATTGTTTCTAAATCAAATTGCCGACAAATCGCAAATTTTTGTTTTCGATTGGACCAGAGTTGAGTTCGATGGAACTTGATCGAAAAGTATTTCCATTGAGAGAGAAAGTTCCAAGCAGGCGGGAGACTGTAACCTCATTTACAGTTTTCAATGGGACACGTAATTAATTATCATGAAATATTGACAAAGCTTGTGTTAACGGGAAAAGTTTACAAAGAAAATTTTAACTCCTTAACAGTTGTATTGGAGAAGTATAGTGCAGTCACGATTAGTGGAGCCAACAGGGTAGGAGATACTACAAAAAGTAATGAGTTGCTGAAGCCGTGGGTGGCGATAATAGTGACTTTGCAGTAGAGAACACAATTTAGATCCTTTAACTTGGTCAAAGTAGTCTTATTATCGGTCGCCTTGCTCACGCTCGCAATCGTAATAAATGACTCTACATAGAAAGGAAAATCTCTTTGCGTATACCTTATACGTATATGTATTAGTGTAACTTTCGTATGAAATCTTTGTACATACTTCGCTGACTCATTTCTGAGAAAATCTCGACATCAACAAAATTCCAAGTCGGACATTTTAAGCCGAATCTTTTTTTTCGTATCAAACATTTTCAATATCTTTAACCTTTATCCAAATCCAATACTGGTTCGTGCAGTATTGAATTCATGTATATGGACGAAATGTTTAGAAAGCACTTATTACATTTTTTGCCTGTACGTTGTTTAACTGTACATCGTTACGTTCAAATGCTAAGTCGACTTTTTGGGCCGAGCTGATACCCTTACACTGAAAAAGCGGTTCGCCCAGGCAGACGTAAGCCAATAAAATAATGTCTTCAATTGAAATAAGGTTCATATCACGCGCATTGCTCAGTTTGTACACTGTTGCTTAAGTGTAAAAACTGATCAGTAAAAATAAGTATTTTTAAATTCATATGAGTTTGATGTATGATCCCATCCATCAATTTAGTAAGGGTGGATTGGAATTTTTATTTGGTAGAAATACGTCCTGAGCCTTGCATGCCGTAGGGAGACTGAATATTTTAATGATCAAAAACATTGACTCAAGGCTAAGTTTCTCCCAAATTAGCATTAATAGACATTAAATGCAATTATGCGAGTATTCCCTCTCCCCAGCCGTGGAGCAAAGTGACCCTATATATCACTATGTCGAGAACACGCGCCAATTCTTCGTTTCTCTCGTTTTTTCTCTCGAATTCTATTGTCCTACGCTACCACCACTGTAACGTGATATCTGACCTTTGGCATCACATTGGACCCTAATAATACTAAGGCAACGACACTTTCTTCTTCTTAAATCATTAAAAAACGATTTTTTGCGTTGCGTTCTCTGGACCTTAAAGGTTATTTGTCAAAGGTCAGGTCACAATAGATGGTGTAATGCGAAGAGAGTTGTCTAAAGCACTCGCTGAAAAATTGTCATTTGTGTAATAAAGACCTTTTTGGCGATATTTTTATTGCAATGACCTTTTTAACCTGATTAACGGCGAAAAAGGATAAAGTTTTTCGGGAGTGTGTATGTAAATGTATCCGTGTCTTGGGCTTATCCTGTAGCCTAAATGCTGTGCAACATATCGGTGTACGAGATGTACTTAGCCTTACGTTACGTACGGAGCGGCGTGAGACGCGATTTAAAATAATTAATTGAAATAAGTGTGTATTTATTTGTTTATTTAATAGTTTATTGTACAGGAAAAATACAACAAGTCACAAAGAATACAAGGGAAATTAAAAACAAAAGAAGAAATATGTGCACTACAAAATAAGCAAAAAATAAAATAAAAATAATATAATAATATAAAATTGTTATAAATTATATAAATACTTAGATAAATACATATTTTATAATATAATACCTAAGATATGGATGGAATAGTAGATAAATAATGCTCCTTAAGTCTCACTTTAAAAATAGCTAACGATTTACTTTCGTGAACAGTAATAGGAAGTGCATTCCAAAGTGGTCAGACTTTGGAGCATGAACATTGAAGGAATGAGAATAGAAACCGGAATTGAAGCATGGAAAAGATAACTGGGGCCTAACAAGAGAGCGACAGGGTTTATGCTGGGATCTAAGGAAGCTGAAACGCTCTTTCAGGTACCCGGGAGACACAGGATTATGTAAAATATTGTAAAGAATGGAGACAATATGCAAATTCCTGCGGAGACGGATGGGAAGCCATTTGAGCTGACTGCGGAAATGTGAAATTCGGTCATATTTACGAAGCCCAAAGATGAACCTTATACATAGGTTTTGCAGTCGTTCAAGCTTATTTAGCAGTTCTTCAGTAGCATCCAAATAGCAGGAATCAGCATAGTCTAAGAAGGGCAAAATAAGTGTTTGGACTAAACATATCTTGGTTTTTAAAGGTAAAACGTTTTGGAGGCGCTTAAGTGAGTGCAAGGAGAAATGGACTTTACGACTGACTTCATTAATATGTGGAGTCCAAACCAAATTACAATCAAAAAGCAAGCCAAGATTAGTTGCAGTAGAAGCATAAGCAATAGGCGTGGAATTATACGCTATAGGTGGGTAGGCTACAGAATCTAGATGCAATATGCCACGCATATACCCACTTCCCACAATCATAGCCTGCGACTTTTTGGATTCACCAATAAACCAATAGACTCAGCCCAATGAGCGATGCACTTGTACTAGCTATACAGATTAAAACTTAAATGCCGAAAAACAGTAACGCAATCGCGGGGTATTTATCCGACGCATTTCAAAATGAATTAGCGATTGCAATAAAGCTACCACCATAATCGCAGTGAGACGCTGCTGTCCGTCTGCCGCTCTCGTAGCACATTCTCCACCAAACTTCGGAATTTCTGCATCCCCTTCAAAATTCATCATCCATCACTTGGTATACCTACGCGGGGGTCTTCCTTAGTGAGGTCTTTGGTTGGTTAATGTGCGTTCAATGGCTAAGCAAGGAACGATTCACGCTTCTTGTCATTATTTCGCGTGAACATGTCGTCACTTGTAGTGCCGCATAAAATTTTCTTTTCTATGGTAATAAATTTCTTTTTCTTCTTCAGTATATAAGGAAATGGAGAAATATCATGTCTTTTGTACATAAATCATTGAGGTTTCTCTCAGAAATTATTAAAAACATAAAATTCAAGATTTTGCGAGGTAAATTATAATGCAGTTTTGAAATTAAAAGTTATTTTGTTGAATGCCCATAAAATAATTCATTCATTCAATAACAGCGTATTCATTTAATTATTACCAAGATAAAACAACATTTTACTTGATAACGTTTATTAGTAAATAGAATACTTTGCTACCATGCGTAAGATCTTAGTATATAAAGTCATACTTTCATAATCAATTTTATGTCACAACAACAACCAGCAAGGGGCATTTGACCGAGTTGAACAATTCATCGCGCAGAAATAGAGACACCGTCCGTTTCTCTTGCAAGCTTTGTGGGATAGATGGCCATATTGGATGACGCGTCTTACACCGTCCATTGCAGCATTAGATTTAAAACAAAGAAGCATGCGCAGCACAAATCTAAAGGTGAAAAATTAAGCGTGAATAATACGCATCATATATTTTATTTATTGCGAGTTTTTAATCTATGTGAAATGGTGATAGAGATATAGGCATTTATTACCACGGGAGAATACTAAAATAATTTTATTATTTACAGAGGCACAAGTTAGGTAAATACATTAGGGACTAACGTGCGTGCCAACGAAGGAACGGGACTGAGCTGCCACTACGTCATCCACTGCCCACACACATACGGCATACGGGTTCCACACATCGTCCTCGTATGCCTTTGCCGACTACTGAAGTTGAGCTATAATTGCACTTCTAATGCTTGTCCAGAAAAATAAATTCTCCAGAACTAAACAGAACTTCTTTCTAACCTGGTACTGGAGCTGGGTTATAAATTAATAAGGCATTATGATGTCAAGTCAACGTAGTTGCAAGTAAATTAATTTCTAGTTCACTCTGCATAATTGAATCTCTTCTAATACCTAAATAATGGCAGACAATGATGTCTTATTTAATTTGCCTTTATATGCTAATCCGAATACCGTATCCACAAAAGCTAATACTGAAGATTCATTATTCATTATCTATATAATACAAACTACGAGCTATTACAATTTTTCATAATTTTTAGTAGTAAGACCTATTTACGGGGTTCCCAAAAAAATACAACGTGACAACTAAACGTGAATATTCCATGAATTAGTTGTTACTTTAAGTACACACATAAGGGTTTAACAAACAATTGGTACCTAATTAAATAAATGATGATCTGCCAACGTTTGAGTGTATAAAATATAAATGTCAACAATTAGATGAAGCACCAGTGTCATCAATTGACATACAGTCAATTATTATTGATTAAATGTAGGAATTAGTAAGGTTAAATCTGTGCGAGTCGATTCTTGCTCCTTTTTCAAGCCTCCTTCCACGTTTCCCATATTAATTCTCACTCCTTAACAACACGGTACGACCACAAAACATGCTTGGAGGACCCACTGCGTGTTGATTTGTGCCCAGATGGTAAGCCAGGATCAGCTCCATAATACGAGCACTCCTGAAAGTAATAGCAGCATGTTACGAAACAGCCTATAGGTAGTAAGGAGGTGTGCAGGTACCTAACCCTGTGAGATTACTTTTAGTACTTAATTACGCACCTGAATCAACCTTTAGACTCGTTATCAAGCTTCCGGATAACAACAACTATCGGCAATATATTCTATATTCTTAAATGCTAATATATTATATTTTTGTTGAATAAAAATAGAACCAGTACCGGCTTAGGTTAGGTGACTTTAGGGAGCGTTTTGCAACGCCAAACCAAGTAAATAGGCGGCCATAGTTAGGTTATGACTAATAATATTATTTATATTGGCTATGACGAAGTGAGGTAAGCATTTTCAAACTCATAAGTTTCCATAGAAGAACCATTCGATGTGCAAATGCGCAGCTCGTAAATTCTGAAATACGTACGAAAAAGCGCGGCTTGGGATAACAAAGGCTGTTGGCGTGATGCTGCCAATAGTGTACTTAATACTTTGAGTCATTTCTCTCTCTCAATCTGGTCAATAGCACGCCGAGCTCAGTGATGAATACAGTATAGTAGACACACGCAATTATTTAATTGACAAATGAACCATTTGTGTTAAAATACCGACGTAAAGTTTAGTTTAGTTTACCAAAATTTCCGGTTCGTAAGTCAGCGATACGTCGCACGAAAACATTTCTCGCTCTCACGTCGTACTGTTTCTATACAAGACAGATATTGTAATGAGTTACAAGTACCGGATTTAACCCTCCGTCGCTTTCTTCGAAACTCATGAAACGATACAGTACTGCTCTACTCGCCGTCGGGAACCATTCGGCGATTCCTCAACATGTCTATCCACACCTAACAGAAGCCTTTGTTTACAATGTGTACGCACAGCAAGCAATGCCGTTTATCAGCGCGCGCAGTATCTCCACCCTAACTACCCGTAGCTACTATTTGCCGTTGGCCGTCGCCGGTCGTTCGTCGTCCGTGGAGCGGCAACGATCGCAATTTATTGCTGGCCATATTTGCTCGCGCAATTGCCGCCGCAGGGTGTCACACGAATTCGCTGCTCACCTCTTCATTCTATGCTAAAATATGAAATTCATTAATCTGTAGTATTAAAAATTTAGTCTTCTGTTTTCGTACTTCGTCTAGGGAGGAACTGCCACCTTACCTGTTTCTGCCGCCAAGCAGTAATGTGAGCATTACTGTGTTTTGGTTTTAAAGGGTAAGAGTGCTAGTGAAATTACAGGCACATGAGATTTGTCAACTTATGTCTAAAGGTGACAGGTGCAGTGGCAGTGTCCCTTAAGATCTTTGCGATTTAAAGCACTGCAACTGCTATGGACAGGCAATGTCGCTTAACACCAGACGCACGACTTTTTTGTCCTGTCACTTGGTATCATAAAAAAACTTCGCTTTGCTTGAAGAAAACTCCTGTAGTCAACCGTGAGACGTAGTGACACATCACTCAATACAGTGACAGTAGATCACGTTTCCAAAGCGTCTAAGTGTAACTTTTGAATGTGGCAGAAGATAATTCAAAAGTCTAGAAAAAACGCTGTTGTAACAGCCCGTTTGAATGAAATTAGCGGCGCTTTTATTTAAAATATATTCAACAGTTTATTAATGTAGGATATACATACTTTGGTGGACAAATACGGGTTAATTTTCTATTCACCGTAATCCTTAAACGGCTATGAATTCTAAAAACAGATGTAGAAGGGTTGGGGACTTGGCATGTCTTGGAACACCTTTTACAAATAGGTTGCTGATGTGTGCCTCTTTGTGGACCGATGGAACTGGCGCTCTGAACCCGGTCACGGGACAGCCTTTGACACCTACTCGTGTGACATCAAAAGGTAAGAGCGACGTGACGTGAAACGACTCAACACGAATAAATATTGTTGTGTGGAGAGAAATGTTTCAGCAAGCAAGAAATATACCTGTAATGTGTATGTAAGAAAAACCAGAGACAATATAAAAAATCGGAAATATCAAATTATCTAAAGTGGGACCCGTTATATCTTTCTTGACTAACCTATATGCTTTCACAGTGTGTTTTCTGTTATAGCTGCACTTCCTGCTTGCTGTTAAAAAGGAAGGGGAACCAAACAGAGTAAGGGAAGAAGGGGGTTTGGGGTTGTATTGAATGTGCGAATTAGAAATCATTCGCGACGCGGGCGCTAACGATGGCGTTTGATATCGTCAAAAACGTACTGACTTTATTTTTTACTATGGTCAGTAACGTCAATTATGCTAATAATGGTAATATAATAAAGGTATATTTACTTTAATATAAATTAGGATTTCAAAAGTTTAACGGAAAAATGTTTGTAACTTCTGGTACAATTTTTTTCCTGGAGTTCACACAGTACCACATGCTATAGCACGTAGCCAACCATTTAGCTGAGCACGGTTTTAATAAATATTAATGTAATATAGTATAATTATAATAGACCATTGAAATTACTTCAAGAAGCCAAACAAATGGACACGATGCGATTAAATTATAGTCATCACCTTCTAACAGGCCCGTTATGACATCCTGTCATCGCAATGTATACAGAAATTTTATAAGTTTGTGATCGTTTAGATTATTTTTTAGGTCATTGGTCTTAAGTTCACGATAAACAATTAACACTTACTTAAAAGTATTTCAATAATAACTATTAAAATCAACGAGTGTGCAAACAGAAATAGTTCAAAAGTAAAATGTAGTCACAAGAAAAAGACACCAAAAAGTAACGATTTTAAAGTTGACTTCCAAAATGAACAGAGACAGGCCAATTTGAAAAATATTTTCAGAAACCCATTTATACTTCTTGTTACTACTCTAGGTACGGCGTGGCAAATTCAGCGATCATTTTCATATGACGCTAATATTAAAAAAAATATATTGAGGACGTAACTTTAGGCAGACGCTTCGTAGAAATTTAAAATTGCACTTTATTGTGAAATTCATGCGAAAATATTACTTGGAATGTGTTCCGTCGTGTAATGTAACACGGTAATAAAATTAGTGTCTTTTTTAAACACAAGTTCATAATAATTTGTTTATTGTTTCATTGATTTCATTCAAAGTTACATTCTATCGTCTTTTTTGTTACCTATCAAACTGGCCTATTACATTGTGACAACTTATGTAAATCGAATTGCACTAGTCCATATACTTCCTTTAACATTTGCGGTTTCATTTATCCGATAGCGTTGGAAATTTCTCAAATCATACACCCTTGTGTGCCATAGAGTGTCATCCAACCCTATAAAATCAACCCCGAAATTCCCATCTCATTTCCATTTTGAATAGAGCTCACATTACTTTGACAACATCATAACGTATGCAAAACTGAGGTTGTCCGTAATAAAATTGTGCTCGTGGTTTGTTCGGGGCTTGATTGGAACGCTTGTACACAGCAACACGCAGCTATGATATTGCTTTGTACTATAATGGTCAAAATCAGCGGTTAGTATTGCATGGTACACTGTTTAACCACAGGTCTAAACAATCCACTATGGATTGAACGGTGTTTGCTTCATTATGTATATATGTTAACGGTTTATTGGTAATTATTACCGGTTACGGTGTATACAGAGTAGTATCTATGCGCACATAGTTCATTATGTAGTTACTGTGGTTGGTGGTTGGACATACGGTGCGAGGGGCGCGGAACAGTATTGTCAATCATTTAAAATTAAAGTCTTGTGGAAAAACCGAGTTATTATATAATAAAATTTACATCAGTTTATTCTATTACTTATTCTCTAAAAGACTATGTTGATAAACGGTTTTGTTAATTCTAAATAGTGAAAAGTGCCAAACTGTTAACGAAATCAATATTATTTCAAATTGTGACGGTAACAATAGTTAGTGATCGACCTTCAGAGTACGTTGCCCCGGAGTGGTTCAACGACCGGTTTTTTTGCAGGCGTCGCTTTAAGCTCTTAATTTCGCCGTTTCTGACGTCATTACGTTGGTGCAACGGGAGTACGTTGGACTGCATGGTGACCGGGCGCACGGTGATGCGTGTTCGATACCCACCGTTAAGCTAAAAAGTGCTGTATTTAGTTTTTTATTATTTTGTTTTTAATTAGAAAAGAACATTAGCGTAGCAAATATGGCTAACAAGTGCGCCGGGTGCAAACGTTTTATTAGCGCTCAATATGGAATTAAATGTACCGGTTGCAATTGTGTGAACCATTTTGCCTGTGTAGGCTGTGTAGGCCAAGGTGCGAATGTCGCAAATTCGTGGCGCTGCCCGGACTGTAAAATCGTACTTCCCAGACAAAGCAACAACGCCGGAACACCCGTTAGGTCGGTTATGGCGGATTGTGACAAAAGTCAGTCACCGTCCGCTGTTGAGAACTGTAGCCCCAAAAATTTCACCGCGAAATGCAACAACGATGCCGACATCGCGGGTGAATTAAAACTTTTTCGCGAAGTAATGAGGGCTACCAGGTTAGAAAGTTGGAGTTCAGATCCACCATCGCCGCTCTTACCGCTACCGTCACGGCCTGCAGTACGCGTTTGGACTCATTAGAAACGCGTCGAGTCGAGTCGAGCGGGTCGAGCGACAATCGAAGGAACCGAACAAAATGAGGCGGGAACTTTGGAGCGCGTTATTTCGGAGTTGAGACAGGCTATAAATGACCGAAAACAGGAGCTATTGGTAAATGACCTTGAAGTAACGGGAATTCCGGAGGAGCATCAGGAATCGTTAGGCCACATAGTTGCCGCAGTCGCCATGAAATTAAATTGTAAGTTGGACGAGCGAAATATTGTGAACGTGGAGCGAGCGGGACTAGTACGTGGATATGTGGAAGGCGAGGGCGCGCCCCGACCGCGTCCTGTAACAGTGCGTCTCGCTAGACGCGTCTGCCGCGACACGCTATTGAAGGGCGCGCGCGTCCGTCGCGGCGCCACCACGGACGATATGGGACTACCTGGAGCGCCGCGACGCTTCTACATAAATGAACGTCGCACGAGGGCTAATCGCCGGCTGTTCGCAAAGGCTCGCGAGGCT